CTAGAGATGGGTGTTACCCCACCCAGCTGAGCAGAGCACCACAAGGTGCCAATGGAGCTGCCCAGGATCACGAGGGGAGCCTGCACATTCCAGCTCAGTTTCATTCCATGCTGCTAGCGCTGACAGCTGAAATGTTTTTCCTGTTCTGGACATCACATGTGCTTTCAACACAGATCTGGGGCACCAATACTTTTTCTTGCCCCCAGGAACCGGCTGAGAGCAGTGCAGAGCTCCACAGCCACTTCAAGGCCACCACAAGATCACCTGAGTGATCCACAAAATAACTTGTGCAGGAGCAGTTTTATTCTATCCTGTTCTTGCAATTGCTGAGCACAAACTCCACAGCAAGAGGGAAAGGACAACTCCATCAAGACAAGTCACACCAGAAGCAAGAGAAACAGATTCCTCAAGGTGCTTCCCTGCCCTGGGAAACTCATAACCCACCCGAACACCTCAGACTTTGGCACCAGCTCCCACAGCCACACACATCACGTAGTTCAACCCCTTCAATTCACCATTTACCCTCTTCCTGGAAACCTGCCAGAAGAGGCAGAATGCAGCCTGCCCCTTCGAAGCACCCTCTGGGCCCCAAAAAACTGTTGTAGAATCTTGTGTCAAAAAATGCACCCTGACCACAGCGACCTACACGAAGGATGGAGGTTTAAAATTCTGAAATGGAAGTGATATGGAGGCTGATGGAGCAATCACCGAAAAACATTATCTGAGGTTCAAATGAATAAAAAAATCAATACACAGAGATTGGTATTCAGCTCTTCCAATCTTATTCAGAGACAGCCACTGAGAAGCTGAAGTTTGAGCAGTCAGAGCAGTGGCAGCTTTAGCTCTTTCCAGCAGTGCTGCCACAGTCCTGCTATGGCAGTGACACAAGCAGGGCAGCAGTGCCAGCCCGCCCTTTGCTGGAGATCCACAGTGTCCAGCCAGCTCCCAAAACAGCAGCAGGAAGGGCTATAAATAACCACAGCATCTTTAAACAACCTGGGTAAGTGGATGGGCACTGGGAACACCACAGCATTTCATGCAAACACTGAGGGTGAGGGTGGATTTCAAACACCCCCATTCACCTCTGTCTTGGAATTCTGTAACATGGCAACGGGGACAAGACGTGCAGTGTTTTCTTTCCCAAGTCCCAGCTTTCATCTGGGAGCCCAAACTGAACACTCACCTCACTGTTAAAAGCCCACATCACCTTGTGCTCTCAGAGGGAGCACGTGAGCCAAACCTTTGAACACTGGCCAGCCCTGTTCCCACAGGGAGCAGTGAAGGAGCAGAGAGAACTGTGTGAGACCAGTGGGGCAGAGAGACACAAAAATCAACCAGGTCAAACAACCCATGTTCGGCTGGAGCTGTGACCTGCCATGGCCACCCCACCAGGAATGATGGAATAGCTGCTGTTCCATCAGGAAACATCACATGGTTGGAGAGAGGAGACTGACAACCTCCAAGGACTATTGCAGCTGCTAAGAAAACACCTGCTAAGCTGAAGATGCAACAGTGAACTAGAGCACCCAGGGCAGCAGCCGACCTACAGTCTGGGAACCACCACAGGACAAGTTTTAGGCTCTGACCACCTCAAACTGCTAAAAGAGAAAGAATTTTACAACTTCACATGGGATTGTGAGGGGAAAAGCATTTTGAGTGTATCTTAAGAGCTCCTGACTTCAGCAGTTTCCATACACAGTTCACAAAAGCTGGAATTAGGATTGTGACTGCTCTCTCCTAGAAGTCACCCACTCTGCCCAGACGAGATGTACCAACATCCCCCCCACCAGAATTCCTTATGACAGAGGCCATACTTACTGTTCCAGCCAGGATATCATGGGGACAGCAATCCAGGAGGTGGCTCTTGCAAACACGATCGTCTGTAAACTTCACCCTTTGTCTGGTTTCATCTCCTGCAATTCATGTGTGGTTTAAATAAGGAGACATTAGAACACCAAGGGAACACAGGCGTGGGCACGAGCATTTCACCTCAAAATGCAGATTAAAGTACTTGGTGCTCCTGCTCCCCAAATTTACTCAAAAAAAAACCAAACAAAAAAAAAACCAAACCAGCTTAGAGGGCAGCAGGATATTCTGGAACACTTATAATTGGCAACAAACACTGTTTTAGCATTTATTCATCCAGGACACCATGTTAAACACAGTGCTGGCGAGCCAAGCAACGTCCAAGGCCTGTCATCCATATAAAGAGGCAGCACAGCCAGAAGAGAGAAAAGGAGACAGACAGGCTGGCTCCCAGCCAAAAACTGCTAATTTTTTTCCACCCCTTTTTTTTTTGTTTTGCTGTGAGGAAGGGGCAGGAGATACCAAACCCCACGGATCAGCAAACAGGGCTGTGCTGGGCAGTTTTTACAGGCAGCTGCTCTTTGCTCACGTGGTAACTAAGCCACCAGTCCTTTTGGTGTGGAACCCAGCTATGCAGTGTGCTCTTCCCAGGCCGTGCAAAGGTGATCTTGGCCTGGAACACACCCACCCTCAGCCCACCCTCAGAGGACATTTTACACTCAGGAGCCACTTAAAACGACACAATATCAGAAAAGCAAAAAAAAAAAAAAAAAAGAAAAGAAAAAAAGAAACAAAGTTAGTCAATACACACTGCGAGCTCCAACACATACTATACCCATCTGCATTCTTCAAGACCTCAGCTGCAGAATTTTATGCCCACTGTTGAAAAGTTTTAAAGGAAAAGCTTTCTTGCCCACACCTGCAGTAAGGAAGTCAGGGGAATGATACATAAAAGTAAAGGCAAAGTGGTAATGGTATGTGACAATTTTAAAGCTCATCTGTGCATATGACACAGGTATGTGTAATACTAAAGTATGGGAATAGTAAAGTATTAGGATTCACAAGCATCCAGGAATAATGTTGTGTCTACTGAATTTTTTTTTTTTTAATTTTTCTTTTCTTTCTAAGCTACACTTTTAAAGTTACTTGTGAAAAAAAAGCAAACACTTTTTTTTTTTGTTATAACAGCTTTAAAAATTGGTTGTGACTCACGGCTCGATGAACATGAGGCTTTTCTGCAACTCCCTTGCAGATTGATGTAGGCAGGCAAAGATACACTGAACCTTTATAAATAAAATAGAGGGGCCACAATTGTTCAGTTTGTATGAAATAAAAATATGGGAAGCAATTCAATAGCAACTCAATACACAGAGAAAAGAAAAGCACTTATTCACTTACGAAACAAAGTGCAAAGTGCCTGGACAGCCCTGCTAACGTGCCAAAGGGGATTTAAGTACTCAGCGAGTCGCAGAAGGGAGAACACAAACCGCAGCGGGGCCGTATTTTGCACGGGCTGTCACATTTCTGGTGCCGGACCGCACCCGGCGCTGCAGGCACACCTACCTAGTGCCTCTGGATGCGCGGGCACGGAGCCGGCCCTGGGCCTGCCCGCTCGGCCGGGCCCGGGGCGGCGGGGCTGGGCCGCGCCGGGCGCTCCCTAGGGCCGGGGCGCGGCTGGACCCCCATGCCGGGCAGGCCCGGGCCCGCCTCGCCGCCACGGGGCTGGGGCCAGGCGGGCGGGGGCGGATCGCGCCGCAGGTCCGGAGCGAGCGGAGGCAGCGGCCGGGGCGGGCCGGGCCCCGCGCGCTGAGGCGGCCGCCGAGGCCGCGGCGTTTCCTGCAGGCCCCGCCCGCCCCTACTCACCGTCCCGGGCCGTGCCCATGAGCTGGTCCAGCAGGGCCCGCATCTGCGCCTGGGCCGACATGGCGGGGCCGGGCCGGGCCGGGGGCGGCGGCTCCGACCGGGCGGGACAGAGACTGGCACCGAGAGCGGTCCCGGGGCCTGGGGCGGCGGCGGCGGCTCCGCGGCGGCGACGGCGGCGGGCGCTGGGCGGAAACAGCCACACCCTGCGCCGCGCGGCACGACGGGAACGGTAGTCCGCCGGGGGCGGGGCATGGGCGGGGCTTGAGGGACAGGGAGGGCGGGGCCGGAGCGAAGGGGCGGGGGCGGATGAAGGGGGTGGGGCCGAGGCGAAGCGGTCCGGAGGGGCGGGGAATGGATGAGGGGCGGGCGGAGGGGCGTGGTTCTGGCAGGGGGCGTGGTTGCGTCGAGGGGCGGGGCCTGTCGATGGGGCGGGGCTGGCCCGGGACACTCACGGGCCCCCCAGCCCGGGTACGCCCCGCCGGGATCGGGCCCGTCACCGGCGCTGCCCCGGGACCTGCCCCGGGACGTGCCCTGGGGCTGGGCGGGTGTGGTGGGCACAGTAGCCGGGCCGCGGCGGGGCGGCGGGGCTAGGCTGCGCTGTCTGCCGTCCGTCCCCATGGCACTGTGACAGCGGGGGACCACCGTGGGGAAGATGGGGAGGAGGACTGGGGGGTAAGGAAAGCCCCTGCTGGGGGTTGGTGGTGCTGGGATGCATGGCTAGGGCAGGCGGGAGCAGCGGGAGGCAGGATAGATGCACGGACAAGGGGATAGAGGGACGAGGGGTTGAGGACAGGACAGCACAGCCCAGAACAGGACAGCACAGGACAGGACAGCCCAGGACTGTTCCCCCAGCTGCGGGAGGGGGATAAGGCCGTGGTTTTGCAGCGAAGCTTGGGCTGTTGCGGAGCTTTGCCGGGCTCTGGGTGCTCTGTCCAGCTTTCTGAGCTCCATCTGCAGCTCCCAACACCCCGCGGGATTCACCTCCATCCCTTCACCACGAGCTCCCCGCCCCAGCTACCCTCCCACCGCCCCTTTGTGCTGCGACGGAGCTACAAAGGCAGCGAGGGTTGGTGCCGGAGCCCTGCCTTACAGGCTGCTCTGTTCTGCCCTAATCATGCCTGTTTTTCCCCATCTTAAAGCTTCAAAGCTCCGTTGGCTTTAAGGGACCGGCAGTGTGTGCCAGCCCCGAGCAGGGGGTGCAGGATCAGCCCTCGAGTGAGGGCTGTGGACACCCTGCTTGTCTGTGGGGTCTCTGGAGGCAGGAGACCCTTTCCCTGTGCAATGGGAGCTCCTTGTGCCTGGCCCTGGCAAAGCCTGGAGCAGGGATGGCCACCCTGGGCCCTCAAATGGGTGCAAAACCACTTGCCCAAGCCTGCTGCAGGGGCAGTGGCATTGCCTCTCCCTCCGGCTCGCCCCAGAACGGTCCTGCTGAGCCTTGGGTGCTCCCTAAATGCGTGTTATTCCTTCCCACAGAGGATGGACACCTCATCACTCCCAAATCTGTGAGCCAAGCCTTGTGCTCCCCACACCCTGCCCCACCCCTGGAGCCCCTCGCCAGCACCACCAGACCCTTCCCACCCAGGCAAAGGGCTGGTGCAGCCCTTACCTCCCAGGCTGAGCCAGAGGCTCTGTGAGCTCTCCCCAGCTCCTGCACTGCAGGAAAATGATCTGGGACAGCAGTGGCTGGGAACACCAGAGAAAGCCCCCCTTCCCTGTGGACCCTGGCGGTGGGATCAGGCTCCCCAGGGATGCAGCCGGTGGCCACGTCAAGCCTTGCCGGGCGGGTGGGTGACAATGGGTGACGTCAGGGAGCGGCCCGGAGGGTGCCCGTGGCTTATCAGCCCCCACCCGCGTGTTTGCCCAGCGGTGCCCGGGCGGGATGGCTGATGGCTGATGCCTGATGGCTGATGCCTGATGGCTGCTCCCGCCGGGCTCTGCCAGTGGGAGTGTTCGGAGAGAGGAGAGGGAGTTCTAGGGAGCCGGTGCTCCCACATCTACTCCCGCAGGGTGTCCCGAGGCTGCCGGCCCGGGGAGGGGGTGGGTACAGCCACGGCACTCCCCTCACCAGTGCTGCACCGTGCCAGGGGCTGGGGACCCCACCTCGGCACCGGGGGACAGCTCATCACGGGGTGCTCGGGGCAGGGGGCAGGAAGAGCTCCGAGGGAGCTGTGGTCACCCCAAGAACAGGAGAGCAGGGCAGCTCTGTAGCAGGGCTGTGCCTGTCCCCAACCCCCATTGCCTTTGTCCCCACTCCCTGTGCGTCCCCAGCACTGGTGGCAGAGTCCAGGCACTGTGTCAGGCCCATCCTGCTGTCATGGGCAGGCTGCCCTGTGTCCTCTGGCCATCTCGTGTCCCCGGGCATCCTGCATCCCCCAGCTATCCATGTCCCCTGGCCGTGTTCTGTGCTGCCCCAGACAGCCCTGCTGGCACATCCCACTGCCAAAGCAAAACGGGGACCTCTGGCACAGCCTCCTTGTGATCTGAGCTGATTCCCATTGTCACCATCCTCAGCCCCTCAGGTGCTGTGTGGGCCAGCAGGGCCACAGGCCATGAGCAGAGACACGGGGCACCCTAGTGCCCCATTCACAGTGACAGTGCTGCCATCCAAGTGCTGTGGGGCTGGCCCAGCCATTCTCCGCACAGCATGTCCACCTTTGCATGCACAGGTTCCAAAACCCCTCCCGAGGCTGGTCAGGGAGCCCGACATCCGCCTCGGGGGGGCATAAGGATTGAGATGGGGGGTCTGAACCTGCAGCACCTGGGTAGACCCCACAGAGAGGCTTTGCCCACTGCAGTGGCAGCCCCTGTTTGCAGAGGCATCGCTCCATACGCAGTATGTTCTTCAGAAGATCCCTACTCCAGGAGTCAAAATAGCATGAAATTTAATTTTACGCCTATTTGACAAAGCTTGATTTCGCCTCCAATCAGCGGGGAGATAAGAGCCCTCGGCACAAGTGTGCGGGCAGTTTGGCAGCTGGGGCTGCCGATTTAATAGGTGAATTTACAGGGACAACACTTGAAAATCCCCTGGCTAGTGAACCATTAAGGTGAGCCCTGCCTTCCGTCCCCGCGTCCCTCCCCGCGCCGCTCTCCCGTTGCTGGGTGCTAAAGCAAACCCCGGCTCTGTTTACCGAGTCTACTATTACAATACGGCTACCAAATATTTGCCAGCCGCCAGCTCCCGCTCCGCTATAAATACTTCAGGCCCAGGTGGAGGGACGGGCAGGGGGAGCGGCGCGGGAGCCTTTGCATGGCCGGGCGGCAGCGCCAAGGTGAGTGTGAGCCGCAGCCCCCCCGGGCGATGCCCTCCGGCACCGCGGTGTTTCCCCGGCTGAGGGTGGCAGTGGGGCGGCCTGACTCTGTCGCTGGGGTGGCCCCACTCTGCTCTGCCCACAGTCCGGAGAGTGCCTCGGGTGCCTGAGCCCCCCCACAGCCCACCCCAGGGCAGCACAGAGGCAGGGCCGGGGGGCCCACAGTGGGGACAGCACTAAGAGGGGCACATGGTGACCCCAGAGATGGCAAGAATGATCTCCTAGGCTGGGTATATGGCCCAGCACCATGTTTGGGGTGGCTGGAGCAGGACTGGTCCCCCAGGATTTGTGCCCTACCAGGGCTGGGGCTGGGGTGATGGCAGTGCCAGGCTGGTGACCAGGGGTGCCCTGCAACGAGGTAGGGCTGGGGGCTCCTCAGCACAGGTAGCATGAACTACAGAGGGGTCTCATCCAGCTCAGCAAGACTCAGCCGTGGCTGGAGCCCGCCAGGGCGGTGTGGGGAGGTGGTGAGTTCACCACATCACAGGGGAACCCATGAGGCCATTCTGTGAGCAGGACACAGGGCTCGATATCCCTGGTGCTGAGCCCAGGATGGCAGGGTGGGTGCTGAGCAGAGGGTGGTGGGATGAGTGTTGAGATGAGCCCCGTTCACCTCCATGCACAGCCCTGGGCTGAAGGGAACATCCCACTGCCCAGCACCTCTGGGGGATGTCCCCACTGCCCCCTGGCCCAAGGCTCAGGGCAACATTCCCATTGCCCTGCATCTCATGACTTTGTGGGAACATCCCTGCTGCCCCATGTGTCATGACCCAGGGACGTTCCCATTGTCCCACATCCCATGGATTCAGGTGGACATCCCTGTTGCCCCACATCCCATGGCTTGATGGGGACATCTCTGTTGGCTGTTGGGGTTCAGTTAGGATATCCTCACTGCCCCATGTCCCATGGCTTGGGGAGGGGTGGTATCCCTGCTGTCTCATGTCTTGGTGGGGACATCCCTGCCGCCTGCTGTCTCAGCGCTCAGTGGGGATGTCCCTTTGCCCCATGTGCCAGGGGGAACATCTCCACTCCCCTGTATCCCATGGCTTGGTGGGGACATCCCCAATGCCCCACATCCTGCTGCCCTGCAGCCCCATCCTGGCCATGGTGTGGCACAATCCGCTGCAGGGCCACGGTTTGGGGAGGATGCCACAGTGTGTCACCCTCACCCCACTGTCCTGCCCGCAGAGTGAGCCCAGGGGTGGCCCTGAGCACTGACATGGCTGCAGGTGTCATCCAGCCCCTGGCCGAGCTGCGCCTGCCCTCGCCCTTCCCACACAGCCTCCTGCTGCCCACACACCCTGAGCCCGACTTCCACAACCTCTCTGAGGAGGAGGAGGAAGAAGAGGAGGAAGAGGAAGAGGAGGAGGAAGTGGAGGCAGCAGAGGAGAACATGAGGCCAGAGCCGGCCATCTCCAGCACTGCCGAGACCACCCTCCGGCTCCTCAAGTTCTCGGAGCTCATCAGCTGTGACATCCAGCGGTACTTTGGGCGGCGGGGCCGGGAGGAGGCCGCCGGCACCCAGCCCGTGCCCAAGGACTGCGAGTCACCCCGGAGCGCTGGGGCCCAGCCCGAGGCCCCGCGGGGCAGCCCGGGGGCCGTGCACAGGCTGGGGCCGCTGGCCGAGCTCTTCGAGTACGGCGTGCACCGCTGCCTGTCCCCGCGGGCGGCCGGTGGCCGGACACAGCGGCTGGAGAGGAAGTACGGCCACATCACCCCCATGCACCGCAGGAAGCTGCCGCCCTCCTTCTGGAAGGAGCCAGGCCCCACCAGCCTTCTCCACACCGGCACCCCCGACTTCAGCGACCTCCTGGCCAACTGGACCGTGGAGCCAGGGCCGGAGCTGCCGTGTGCCGGGCGGGAGCTGCCGCTGGAGCCGGGTCGCCCGGGGCTGGAGGCCGAGCCCTTCCCCGGGCTGTGACCCCATGGCCTCGGGGGCCCCTGGTCCCGCCACGTGCCACTCAGTTAATGATAAATCTTGTTGCCCCAGTGCCAGCGCTGGGGCACCTGGAGCTGCCGGGTCGGAGCCGGTGGTGGGACGAGTGAATAAATGACTCCCACCAGGCACCAGCGCATGTGGTGTCCTTTGCCACCCGCCACTGTGGTGTCATTGCTGCCTGTGACAAAGGGCCATGGCTTGGCACGGCCCCCCAGGCCAGCGGGGAGCGCGGTGCCGGCAGGAGCCAGCAGCCCGTGTTTACTCTGCGGCACAAGCCGGTGGATCCCATCCCTTATCTCGGCCACGCCGGGACAAAGGGCAGTGTGGGGCCTCATAAAGCACCCGGCTGCCACCACCCAGTGGGGACTCATCACTGCCTCGGGGACCCACTGCACCCCACGGCAGGGCCAGGGATCTGGAGCCACACGGGAGAGCAGAGCTGGTCCTTCCCCACGACCCCGCCACCAGACCTGGCTGTTACCAGGGCTCAGCACAGGCATCCTCTGCTTTGTGGTGGCTCTTTGTTGGCCTTGAAAGGAGAAAGCACCCGGGAAGGGGCAGCCAACCCCTGTCTTGAGCACTGCAGTGCTGCTGAGAGGCAGCCCCCAGTATGCAGCCCTCCCCCAGCCCTCCCAGTACAAGGAGTGGGGACAGGGCTCAGCTCAGTCCCCAGAGGACACTGGCAGAGGTGGCACCGAGCCTGGGCAGTGGCCCCAGGGGAAGAAGGGAAGCAAGAGACAGGCAGCACCACAATAAAAGTACAAACAGACTTTATTTCAGCACAGATCCCACAGTTGAAAGCCCCTCCAGACACAAGGTTGCCCTGCCCAAGTGAGGAGGGGGCAATCCCCAGGCAAGGGGCAATGCCAAGGAGAGGAGGAAGGATGGGGGGAGTGAGGTGCCAGAGCAGGAGCTTTCCTCATCACCCACAGGAGTCCAGGCCTTGCTCCCTACCCCTGGCCATATCCAGGACTGGTGATGGGGTTTGGGATGCCTGTCAGGGCCTAGGCTGCTGGAAAGGGCCAGAATAAGCCCCAAGAGTGACTCTGGACACCAATGTGGGAGGAGGGGAGAGGAAGCAGCAGTGGTGGCAGGAGTGGCAGGCTGCAGGACCAACATGGCCCCAGGGGAGGCAGCTCTTCCCTCCCCATCCCTGCCCCGAACCCCAGGGGTGTCTCCCCGCCCATGGGCTGGGGTCAGAGTGGCTGAGGGAGCCAAGAAAGAGCCAGAGGCGGCAGCTGCAGAACCATGGGAGCCCTTTTATTGCACAGCCAAGCAGGGCATGGCCCCCTCCTCTGGCCCAAGGGGCGAGGGAGGCAAGAACCTACCCCAGAGCTCAGCCTGACCCAGCCAGCACAGGACAGGGGTCAAAGGAGGCCTGGGGGCAGGAGGGGGCCCCATCATGTCCCCTCTGCTCCCACACAGAACCTGCAGCCGGGGCTAGGGCAGGGCTAGGTCCCAGACAGTCCAGGCTGGGTGGATGAGGAAACAGAGGCCACATGCCATGGCAGAGGACTATGCCCAGCTCAGCAAGGCACTTCTGCTCCCCGTGGAACACTCCAGCCTTCACCTAACCCTCAGGGAGAGCCTATCCCAGGAACTAATGGAGCCAAGGGTGCATTTTGATCCCTCGGAGAAGCAGAGGAAGGGGTGAGGAGGCAGTAGACATAGGAAGGCAGCAACAGGCAGGAGAGCCAGGGCAGCACGGCCGTGCCGGTGCTGCAGGCACTGCCTGCACAGCCTGGCCCAGTCCTCTCCCCATCTCCTGCCAAAGGGGGTCCCCAGCCCCGAGGGGCCAGGGCCTGTCTCTGCTGGGCAGCTCTGCATCACGTCTGTGCCAGCGACAGCTCCTCCAGGCCCTCCTTCCCCAGCCGGTACCTGGCGAGGTCCTTGCGGGTGACCATTCCCACCACCTGCCAGGGAAGGGACAGGGCACAGCCTGAGGTGGGCACACAGAGCCTGGGGACAAGGGCAGCGTGTCCCTGTCTCCCTAGGGAGCTCAGGCTGCTCTGACACAGCAAGGGACTCACCTCGTTACGATTGTCCACGACCACCAAGTGCCGCAGTCCCAGGGCTCGGAAGAGCTTGAACACCCGTGGCAGAGATGCCTCCTGCAGGGCAAAGCAGTGCTGTGGGGGCTGCAGCACCCCCAGCCAGCACCCATCGCCCTCCCAGGACCCCCAGGGTGCTGGGCAGAGGGGTCCTGGCCATTACCTGGGGCACAGTGTAGGGAGAGGGGTTCATGAACTCGCTGAGGTCGATCATGCACTCGCGCTCGTCCTGGGAGACGTGGATGGACTGGATGGGGGGGAAGCGGGGGTAGGCATCCCGAAAATCCTTCAGCTTCAGCCGCCGCTGCACCAGGCTCAGGTTGGCCCTTTCCACAAACACCTTGGGAGGAACGAGATGGTTGAGGACTGTCCTGCAGAGCTCACAGGCACCAGGACAACGCACCGGGGCCGGGAGGGAAGAGGGCAGGAGCATGGGGCAAATGGACCATTTGCAGCAGCACAGCCTGTTTCCCACTCACTCGGGGTTTGTGAGGCCAGTGGGGTGCAGGATGATGCTGGAATAACTCCAGCATGGCACAGCAGCCCCCACCATCTCCTGAGATGAGAGACAGGAGGTGAGCTGAGGGAGATGACAAGGACCCTCTTCCAGCTCCTCCCAAGCAAGGCAGGACACAAGGGGTCTGGGGCACCAGTGGGATATGGGTAGCAGGGCTCAGACATGACCCAAACGGCCTCCACGCAGCATCACCCACCTTGTGCTTCAGCAGGACGATGAGCTGGGAACGCAGAATCAGACCCCGCAGTCCAGCCACCTGTGACACAGCACCGTGTGTGAGACAGGCTGGGAAGGTGAGGATCCCACACTGCCCCCTATGTGGCCACCCCACAGCTGTGCCCCCTTCCCAAGTGGCACCCAGCCCACCTGTGTGGTGTCAGGGTTGCTCTCCACCACGGGGAAGCCGTTGTGGTTGGAGGAGGTGTCACTGAGGATGTCCACGACGGTGCCCACCCGCTCGATCCTCCGCAGGCAGGTGACAGGAGTGCTCATGACCTCCCTGCAGGGAAGGTTCCAGTGAAACACAGCCCCAGGGCAGCACACACAGAATCATGGAATCACAGAATGGAATCACAGAATCATGGAATCACATTTCATTCCATCCCCTGCATGGGCAGGGACAGCTTCCGCTAGCCCAGGTTGCCCCAAGCCCCATCCAACCTGGCCTTGGACACTTCCAGGGATGGGGCAACCACAGCTTCTCTGGGCAACCTGTGCCAGGGCCTCATGACCCTCACACCCTAAATATCCCCCCCCAACACACACTCAAAACTCAGCACTGATGTCTCCTCTGTCCCCAAAACCTGACAAGGAGAGGGGAAGGAATGCACTGCAGGCCACAGCCCTGCTGGGGAAGGAGCTGGGCTGATGGCACCAGGCTCCCAGGACCACCTCCATTCCCAGCTCAGGCCAACAGTGTGGTCCAAAAGCTGCTGCCACAGGAATGACAAGCATCCCCCATCCCACCTACCTGGCCGTGAGGGAGTGGGACGTCACCGGGGCCTCCCAGTGCAGGAAGGGGACACTCTGCAGCTGGATGTGCATGTCGTAGAGCCCCTGCAATGAGAGCCAAGCCATCAGGAGAAGCCTGGTGAGATGCCAAGGGGCACAGCCAGGCAGCAGCTTATCCTTCAGAGCGAGCCTGTCCTGGCCTCCCATGGCCCCCCAGCATCACCAAACCTGACCCACAGCCACATCCTGTGAGGACACCAGCCCTCACCTCCACGAAATAGTCTCCCACAATCTTTGCAGTCATCAGCACCAGCATGATGGGGAAGCCATAGGTGACGTTGCCTGTTGCCTCCATCATGATGACCGTGAGGCTCAGTGTCATCCGCACGATCCCACCTGCCAGAGGCACCCGGGGGGGTTGGGGTTCAGGAGGGCAGGGAAACATGGAGCAAGGGGACAGCAGAACACCTGAGGCCCCTGAATCCTGGTGATCCAGGACTGTCCACACAGCCAGGGGTGCCCTGGACAAGCCCACCCCTCACTGGTGCCCCAGCACTGCCTGTGCTTGGCAGGGGCATTAAGAAGTTGACAGCCAAGCTGGGGCTTCAGCTGGGGAAGAAGCTGTGCCAGGAAAGCAGGGATTACTTTTTCCCACGCCACCTTCACCCCAGACAAGACCATGCCATGGGGAACTCACCCAGCTGTGCAGCAGCTCCCATCAGGGCGTACTTCCCGGGGTCAGCCCAGATCTGAGCACAGGAGAGAGAAGGAGACCAGTCACCTGCTGGCTCCAGGGCACTGAGATAATGAGCAGTGCCCTGGCCCTCAAACCCTCCTCTGAAGTGGGGAGAGGTGCCTGAGGCTGCCTGCACGGCCCAGCTCCATCAGGGCTCCATCAGGATATGGGAAAGCCCAGACCCAGCTCATGAAGGCATCAAATGAGGAGCCAGCCCACTTCAGAGCCGTGCCAAGCTCTTGGTCAGCTCCATGCCCTCTGCCTGCACATGCCACCTGCCCAGCAGCCAGGGAGGAGGGCTGAGTGACACAGCTCACGCCCCCCAACACCCCTGTACCCCCAGGACTCACCGAGCCCTTGGTCAGGTAGGACAGGGAGATGCCAAAGAGCCTCCCCCAGGCCGCGCCGATCAGCAGGGAGGGGATAAACACCCCTGCAGACACTGTCAGGCCGTAGGTCCAGCAGGCCAGGAAGAAATACATCAGTGTGAACATGCCCAGAGTCATGGGGTTGTAGGAACCTGGGGTGGGGACAGAATGGGGAGTCAGTGCCGGTCCTGCAGTCCAGAGAACCCTGGGATGGTCTGTGGCCGTGGGAGGACAGACAGAGCAACCTCATGGCACACTCCCAGCAGTGAGAGTCCCTCTCACTGGGTTGTACCTTGTGCCCTGGCAGCACAAGCCTTTCAAACTGGTTCTTCAGGTTATTTCTGTCCCCTCCAGGGCCTCACCATCAGCTGGGGCCACGCCAAGCCCTCCCATCCCATTCCTCCATCTCTCGACCCATGATGACCCATCCCCTCCCAGCCCGGAGGTTCCCAGCCACCCATGAGGCAGCTTGACAAACTTCAGAGCCCTGAGGGACCATCAGT